GAGAGAGAGAGAGAGGCTGAAAATAAGCCCAAAAATAAACTCCGATTAACCGAATTCGGTAATCGCCTAGAGTAGCAATCGATCAATTATTATTTTATTCGATCAAACTTATTTTCAACAACTACGCCACCAACATTTAGCAATACAATAATTTTATGCCGATATTTCTTCAAAGTTCAATCCCATACGAGGTTTTTAATTTTTTCAATTCTATTTTTTTTTAGTTTTTTCCAGTTTTCAATTTGGCTCTGTCGTTTTTCCCACTACCGAATGAGTCCAAAATCACACAGTTTTAAAGAAATGTGTTGGGAATAAAAGGAACAAAGCAGCTGCATCTATACGCATGCAATAATTTCGAAAGCACTGCAAACTGTTGCTGTCATAATAGTGTACAATTTCTGCCATTAGGACAGCGAGACGTGTGATTTCCTCTTTAGAAATAGATATCATTTTTGATTTTATTTCAATGTGCATATGACGTGAACATCACGGTGATAATGTATGCATTAAGATGTCATTTTGAAACACCCAAACAACATTTCATTTAGAAATAACAGTTTCAATAGCGTTGAATCGATCTGTCAAATAAACTTATTGCAAAACACTATGAATTGTTACAATAGCGCTGATCGTTTCCATTCGTGGCATTCATGAAAGAAGCGCTCTGATTTATAGATATCCTCGAACGATGCAAATGCGTTGCCTCGATCAACTTCGTCGTCTTCTCATCATTCACGTCTGCATCGAATAATTCAATTCACATTCCTTATAATACCAACAATACATCAATGAAATTCGCATAATTGTTCTCAATACAAAACAATTCCTGAATTGCCTCCTTTCTCAAAACATTTATTCGTTTCTCTTTTCAGTTTCATCTTTAAACATTTGTGATATTATGTTGTCACTGTAACGATTCATTCCTTATATGATACGAATCGTTGATTATTCAACACTCACTAAATGGCTACATTCTTCTGAGGTTTGTTCATTTAACATCTGTTGCAAGCCAGCTGAAACAGTCACTGTGAGTAGTTTCATTGCATGATTCTACTCTAATCTACGCTTAATTATAATATTGTCCAGCTTATTTTGAGTGGCTAAATCGTTCAGTATTATAGCCATTGGTTTCACTGTTATTACTGTTACTGTTTGCATTAGTAGGATTATTGTTATTATCATTTTTATGTCATACAATATTATTATATATGTACATATGAATGCGCTAACTTCACTTCACGAATACGTACTGCCCAAAACCAGTTGATATTAAATCTTACCTGTCACACACTCGTTTCTCACTAAGCACATTTATATTTCGTTTTGTTATCGTTTTTATTTTGGTTATTATTATTATCATTAGTATTATTAATATTGTTGGTATTAACATGCCCATCATTATTCTTTACGTTTCATATACGATTTCATATTACTTGTATCGACATTGATGTCATACCGAAAATGGCAAAACGAATCAAAAAAGAATGATTTTTCATGCGAACAAAAATGATACTGATACGGAAATGGAGTACCAGATGATGATTAATAGTGATAGGAATGTGTCGTTATCAGTTACTTGCTACCATCTAAAATGTTTACTATATGGAGTGCACTTCATATCAATTATTCATTTTTTGATTTGTGTTCAATTATTTGATTTTTTCATTGGTTTGTATATTATATGAATAGATACAATATACAAACCTTATTGCTATGCCAATTCGTGATTAAAAACGTTCGTTTACATATTATATGTGAACAATGATTATAATCGATGACAAGTTTCGTTGAATTTTCATCTGTTCATCAAACAAAACACTGCGATGAATATGACAAAGCAGCTGTCATCAGAATATATCGATACCGTGCAATGCAAATACTGCTTTGCAATCAGCAGTGTTATTATCACGTAAACGCTGCCACTTAAGACACTCATTATGATAATGAATCACAATGACGACATTCTTTCATTTCTAGTGATTATGATCACATTCATCATAATAATTGGTTTACAAATCGATACTAAAACCGTTTACTACTCAATGTTTAGTTTGGTGTAATGCATGAAAATTGGTGCAGGTATGTGTTTCAGATATCTAACCAATCCAATCTCGTGTTCAGCGAAGTGTAATGAAGCTTATTGAGGCGTGAATAAGGTCATTGAGTAGTTCATTATTTATTCATACGTTCATGGCACTACTAATCAACAGTCGGCGTAATGGTGTTGTTTAAATCAATTGCGCATTATTTGTTATTATTGTGTTTGTTGTTGTTGTTATTTATTGATGCAAGTGCCGCACAGCAAACCCTTCTGGAATTTGTTCGAACTGAACGAGCAGCTGCCTATGTAAGTGTGCCTGCCATTAGTTATTCAACTCGATCTATTAATTCCCTTCATAAAATGAACACTTCATAAAAATGTTAACTGTAGTTTCTCAACTATTGAATGAATAACCTGTGTTCATTGATTCAAAATGAATGTTTACATTTTCTTTACTGATACACACACAGAGCGATTGTTACCAAGCATTGCAATAGCGACCAGTATATTGCTAATAGATTCCGAGTACTCACTAGCTGTAAGCCTTTACGCTTCTATTAACTTTTTCAATAGTTGCACATGCCTGTGCGAGAAAAGGTGTTGTGAATCAGCCTCCGTGTACCTCATTAAGTTACATCAAGTTCACTGAAGGATACATCTGGACTCATTCAATTCAATGTCAATTTCAGCAAAGTAATTATGTGCCCGCAAAATTCTATCAACCCGTTCACAACGGTGATCGATTACCTCAAGATGCTGTCAAACCGTTCGGTAGACCTTTAAGTTTCAATGGGAAATTCTACGACATGGCTGTTGCTCTCTGGTTGGTGAAAGTTTTCTTTTGTGTTCGCTTCAGTTGGCCACGATGTTAAATGAGCAATATTCATTCGAGGATATAATTTGATGAATGTGTTCATCGAATAATTCAACAACTCGTCTTGTTTATCCACAGTTTCACTCTATTCAACTCTATTAAGCAAAGATTACGTTTTTAGTGGAAAAGTAAATGCTGAAAATAGGTTCGATTGAGATTTCGAATGGAATGACAAAAATGAATGAGAAATGGACCGTACTTTCAAGTGAATATTTGAATTCAGATTATACTTGTATTTCATTATAATGGTATCTATCTTCATTCGGTGAACATCAGAACATTTCAGTAGAACCGTTGATTGGTGGACCAATGGAACATGAGCCAATTTGTAGATAAACTTAGATGAGTGGTTCTCATAGTAAAAGAGAAGTTCCTCTTGAAATGGAAGCTGAAGATGCCAGAGATGGGGGGAGGAGGAGATAGACGACGTTCGCACTTCATTGATTTTTCTTCGCAGTCGTCCGATAAATGCTCATTAAATGAGAAGGGATTGATTCCTCTGATGCCGAAAATGAATCGTTGGTATCAAATTTGCTGAGCATAAATCAGTCTCGCAAAACTTCAATAGAGGGGTTAAAAAGTCACGTAGATTGTTGGAGGTCGGTCACATAATCTAAAGAAAACACGCAGCGGAGCGCTAGAGCGTGAGAAGCACTGGAATAGATGAGGATAACCACTGAAATGAATGGTTACACAAGAAATTACAGGATTCCAGATTCGGACAAGCTCGGTGTATGGGGACGTGCCTGGGAGGAGAATGGGCAATTGAGAGCGATATTTGTTCATAACGATACAATTAAAACAAATGAACATCCAGAATTACAGAAAGGGTTTCGAATTTTGATCTATCCTGGAACACCTGAACAGAACGGTTTTAGGTGATTCGTTTATCCATCAATTATTGATTCATTCGATCAATCATCTGTTATTAATAAATGTTGAAGTTTGATTCATTTGGCTGCATTTATCGCAGTAGTGAGAATAATGGCAGTAATTATATGAGATGAAAATATTATCGACGAAAATTTAATATGGTGGTGAGAATTTAATATGGTGATGTTCAACAATAGCAGCACTGATCGCTACTGAGTGATAAATTTAGGTTTTCGTGGATGAAGGTGAAGGATGCAGACTATGGGACATTATTGTATTCAGGTCGAAATAAACATGTGGCATCGGTATTTGTGGAGAGTGATGCTAATAATAGGTATGAGATATTGGGGAATACCGACTGGAATAAGAGACAAATGGATTATGTGGAATACGGCACAATGAATCTGCATTCGGTGGCGAATTATGGCACGTATAATATCTTCGACGAGGATGTCTATTTGCTAACCAAACAACGATGCAACTGTCAATGTTGATTCGAATGATGTATCTATCATCCAATGCTTGCTTTTGCACAGCACATAAACCACCATCTTACATCATCATTCGTTTCGCTCACCGAGCTGTTCGACATCATAGAGCGGTTCTAATTTAAAAAATAAGACGTAATAAACGATTATTATGAAATGTTATTGTACTATATGAAGAATATGTGTATATAAATATGTAATCATTCACTAATCAGTGGGGTCGATAAAATGATGTGAACGGTCGTGATGATAACAGAACCAGCAACTTCACAATGACTCATCAAAATGAAAGCAATCTTTCGATGAAATTAAGTGAGAAATGTTTGTCGTGATTGAAACAATCCTTGATTAATTCTCTCAATTAACTGATCATCTCGAACTAAACAACTCTATTCCGCACCCTCCAATAGAAATATCGAGATCATTCCGCATACGAACGTGGCATCTTTAATTTGTCTATTATCGTATTATTATGGTACCCGGTCAATCTGCCTAAAGACATTTAGCCTAACGACAGTTTGCCTAACG